TATTAACCGTTATTTAACAGGCAAGTCCCATTGAGATCTCAAATCTCTTTTTCAAGGGAGGCCTGTATGGGGTAAGAGAACTGTCAGAATCATTGTACGCGTAAGAGTCTAAATTTGTACATGTAAGTCTATAAACTTACATGAATTTGTTACAACTTTGCCACATTACAAGTACAAATCAAATTTACAAGTGCAATTCTTATGTGAGAATACAAGTTTTTAAGTTACAAATACAAGTTAAAAAGTTACAACTTTGCCTTAAAAAATGAAATCAGATGGTGTTAAAGTAAAAGTAAAATAACATATTTTATCATAAATCCACTATCTACTTTATTGTTATACTACATGACATGAATGGCAAACTGAAAAGCCTCCAAATGCTTTTCCCTTCAGCAAATTGTTGTGTTTATTAAGAGTTTGTCTGGTCTCAAATGAGGCAGTGGTCATGTCCCCCTAGTGGTCTGGCTTAGTTACTGTTTGCAATCGATCTTTTTGGTGTTCCATGCATAATGTCTGTTATTTTGACAGGTAAAAGAATTGTACTTGTAAATCTGATTCGTACTTGTAAATCTGATTCGTACTTGTAAATTTGATTCGTACTTGTAAATTTGATTCGTACTTGTAAATTTGATTCGTACTTGTAATGTGGCAAAGTTGTAACTTTTTAACTTGTATTTGTAACTTAAAAACTTGTGTTCTCACATAAGAATTGTACTTGTAAATTTGATTCGTACTTGTAATTTGGCAAAGTTGTAACAAATTCATGTATGTTTATAGACTTACATGTACAAATTTAGACTCTTACACGTACAATAATTCTGACAGTTTTCTTACCCGATAGAGGCCTGGGCCTGAAGGCAACCTATTGTACATATATGTTTGGGGGTGGGGGAAACCGGAGTACCTGGAGAAAACCCACGCAAGCACGAGGAAACCATGCAAACTCCACACAGAAAGACCCAAGGTCCAAACCAGTGATAAGAACCCAGGATCTTCTTGCTGTGAGGCGTCGGTGCTAACCACTGAGCCGTCATGCTGCCACATACAAAATTTAAGATATTGCATGTGATTTTGTAAACAGAGGATCGGTGCAGTGAAAATAAGCTGCATGATTAATTATTCTTATAACTCTTTTTTGTAAAGTGCAGATTCAGGTTTTGTTCTATATATTCCCCAAACTACAACACAGTAAGACAAATATAGATGTATCAGTGTATAATACATAATATATAATGAGTTTATCCAAAATGCATCTTATTTTATTCAAAATTTCAACAGTTCTAGAAATCTTACAACACAAATATTTAATATAACTTTTCCAACTCAATTCATGGTCAACAATGAAGTCAAAACTTACTTTCAAAAATTCTTCCTATTTTTACATTATTTCCAAGTGAGTATCTAAATCTGATTTAGGCTACAATTTGAATGAACTGTTGATGTTGATTATTTATGTTGAGAAATGACAGTAATTTTGGTCAAACCTGACACTAAGGTAATGTGTGATATGATGTGACTATATGTCGGGTTGACTCTCAGCCACCATCACATCAAACTGACTGAGGTCAGGCTAACAGCTGTGGTGTCTATCTTCAACCAAGTTAACTGCAAAAGTTAAGCATTTCCAGATTTACATATCAAATCATTATTTTCTGAGAGTTTCATTAAACAATGTGTTCATGACATATTTTGCTAACAGACACAGATAACAAAAAAGATACAAAATATAAAACTGCTCAGACTACAGATGAACAAAAACAGGAGAGTTTATATAAAAATATTTAAAGATTATTAATAGCAATGTTCATAAAGTGCCCTCATTTCAGCAGTAAAGGTGTCACACTGAAATGGACCCACTGAGTTAAAACATAAGCAAAATAATCAGCAGGAAAGGAAGTGATCTCAGTGTTAGTGAGACGTTTAGGTTCTCGTAGAATAGTGGGAATGTTTCAACTTCACGGTCCTGGTAGATGGAAGACTGTTGAGATTCTGCCGTAGAAAATTCATAAAATAGTTTTATGTATTACAAAAAGTACGTGTTTGTTGTTATCTATTTAGATTTTGACTCATTATTTGGATTAAAAAATCTTCGAACTGAAACTTTCTGTGACAAGCTAAAGTGTACGGAAAACATTGAACGCAGCTTTAGTTCCTGGTCAACGGATACATCGTCAGTGACTCGAGATGCTTTTAAATGTCTTATTTTTGGTTCTTTGCTTGACACCCTGACTGAAACTTGTTTCCTGAGCCGCAGCACCGAACCAAGCTTTCCAGAAATGATTGGGGGACATTTGGACCCGAACAGACGACCTGAACATTCAGCGGGCTTCACAAGCGAGGTAGTGTTAGCACACAAGCTAACTTGAAGCTAGCCAGCAGCTAACTTTCAGTTAGCAAAATAACATCGGCGCTTTGATCTGTCTGACTCCTCAGCCGTGTTCAAGTGAGCTAAAGCCTCGGCTCTGATTTCCGGCACGAACTAACTGAGAACCGAGCTCTAGCCTGCTTCGTTTAACGACAGTCTCCTGACGGAATCATCAACAAGTGGTTTTTATTTTAGTTTGGCTTCCTGACAGGAAGGAACCAGCCGCTCCAGTTCGAGTGTTTACAACACATTCCAACACCGTCTGGACTGATGTAGCCGACATTATCTGTAGCATCAACAGATAAGAGTCTCTCTGTTGCATAACCTCATAATCCTCTCCTCTGCAGCGGTTTGTCCCATTTTGCCCTGGTTCTGACAGGACGCTTTGGGACAGATTGTTAGTGGGCTGTGGTGTCTCCATCCCAGCGTGAGTCAGGGCAGATTTATTATAAGAAGCTTACACACACACACACACACACGCACGCACACACGGCGGGCAGAAGTCATTTACTGAGTGAAGCATTCAAAAGACATGACAACAAGACATTTGAGCTACAATACAGACCGTAATACTGCACTGAAGCATGTGGGAGTTTAAAATGAATTACTTCTAATTTTCACGGTCAGTTCTAAATCATTTAATTTTCTTTGCCTGCTCTACAGTAGTATAGCTATCTTTATGAGGACATTACATTGACTTCCATTAATTTCTACAGCCTAACCCTGATCCTAAACTCCATTCACACCTCGATCCTAAATCTGACCCCCCCCCCCCAACCCACCAATAGCATTTCGCCCCATGGGGACTAGGCTTAGGTCCCCAAAAGTACCAGTTGGTCCCCACAAGTAGGGGTGTATGCCAAAAATGGTCCCCACATAGTACAAAGTACCCATCCACAGAGAGCAGGGGTCTCATTTATAAAGGATTGCGTGGAAACCATACTAAAAGTGAACGTACGGCCAAAAGGTGGAAATGGCGTACGCCAAAAAATATTCAGATTTATAAAACCATGCGTACGCACGTTTCTGTGCATCTTTCTTTTATAAATCACAGCCGCACGTCAGAGTTTGCGCACGAGGTCCCACCTCAGGTTCCACCCTCTATACGCCCACATTCAACCATAAACAGTCAATG